ATTTCACTGTATTCTTTTCCTACTGTAATAGCACTGACAGTTTTTATCAAAATGGCATAATATTTGTGGGCATTTTACTAACATCACTCCTGCCAAAATTCAACAGATCAACAGAAGAGTCCCTATTTTATGTGCAGTTTTCAAAACGATGATTGACAGCTTCTAATTAAAGTTCAGAACACTTTATGCTTCAGATGGGACAGTTTTCAAGTCTTGTCACTTTCAGTACATTACAAGAGGCTCCCTTGTTGATTATGGTTATAGAGGCTATTAGGAAATGATCGGGCCAGCATTTCTAAAACTCTATGTTTCAAACTGGAAATTTTCCAACTCTTGTCACTTGCAGAATTCTCTGCTCTGTGTTATGTAATAATTTTTGGAATATCTAGGCATTTGGAAAGATCTATTTTATTTTGTTCTGGAAATAAATGTGCACTTTTGAAGGAGGGGTTCAAGTTGGTTTTTCATGTAGTTGGGGAAGGTTTCTACATTTATTATCCATACCTTATTCTCTAAGTCTTCCTTGGAGATACTATATAGTTAGTTTATTATGCACTATAGTATATTAGAGAAATAAACAATGTCTGGATTTTCCTGCAATGAATGAAAATAGTAGTCCTCTGAAGGCATTTGTCTAAACATATGAATGTTTCAAGTGACTAGAGTTATGAAACCATGCATGATGACATTGCCTTTGCACATTTAGCTGGAAAACATCCCTTACCTTACAGACTCTGCTTTAATATGATCTTGTCAGAATTTCATTATCATTATCAGGGAATGTTCTACATAGATACAAAGAAATGCAAGTAGTCCTTCCTTTAGATGCTATGATAATTTAGGAAAATGTTAGTGGCAGCCTACACAGAGATACCCTATTGATATATGATACCTTATAACCTCAGATTATAAGAAATTGAAACAATAGGGAATTGTATGGAATGGTTTATGAATCTTCACTTGAGAAATCCAGAGGTGCCAAGGCATTATCTCCCTGTACATGTATGTGCAAGAATGTGCCCCATTACAGGATATTTTTTTTCTTCAGAAGGTTGTTGCCACTATGATGTTTATGTAAATGGAATGAGTGAATAAATGAATGAATGTGATTTCATGAGATATGAAATTTTACAAAGTTTTATTTTAATAATTTCACTCTCGACATTCTGCAAAATGCCACAGGATGACATACAAAATATTGCAATCTTGCCATTATACTAATTTTATCATATAAAAGGTTGAATGTCATAGATGCTGTGGCATCTGCAGCTGAAAACAAAACATTTTGTTTCAGGAATGATCCTCATACAATCTGCCAGCTCTTTATAATTTTCAGTTCTTTTTATTTCATACTCTCTTTCCATTTTTTAATGTTTATAAACATGCGATATGTAATTGGGTTGCATTAGGTTACGTTTTCTGAAGCATTGAAGTGTGCAGGGAGACAATTTAGGATTCTCCCTTAGAATCCTGCTTCTCTTTGTGAAACCAGAGTTAATCCAAAATTACCTGATCCAGTTCATGATTTGTCTTTTGACTCCATCAGATGCATACATCAATGGCAGACAATTAACTATTACATTAATCTGCCATTATTTATCTATACATGCCACCAGAGTGAACAATGGTAATCTGTCAGTGTTGTAAAGTTTTGAGCACTCCGATTAGTCTGTGCCACTCTTTCCAAATCTAGTTAGTTGAAAAAAGAAAGATTGCCAAAATATTCTAAACATCCATTTACAAACTGTTAGATTATCTTTTCAAACATCTGTACACTATTTATATGATCTTTCTTAAAAGAATGGGTCCCACTGGAATCACTATTTGTGAAAGAAAAAGCTCGTTTTGTACATAAACTCTTTCTTTTTTATGTTATGGCCCATAAAATTACAGACACATAATTCTCATTGTGTGGAATAACCCTTCTCTGATCATAAACAGTATTTCCATTCTAGTTAGTTCTTGTTTTTTCTTCTTCTGAAGACAGTTCTCCTGAGCAGGAAATTCACAAACATGACTATGCTGCCATTTTTTTGGGTGGGTGGCTGATTAGTAATAATTAGTTTTAAATTAATATATCAATGCAATGTCAAATGCAAGCTAGCTTATAGATATAATATGAAGCATAATTTCTGAAATAGGCTATGAACTAATTAGAAGCAGAATAAAGAAAGTTATAGGGTAATGAAAGGCATGTCTGTATGATTTACAGAGGAGTGAACTGTTGCTGTGCATGCATGTACTCCCATATGAATATGTGTGCACACACAGCACTCAAAAAGGCTCTTCCAGGGACATAGCAAAAGCCAGCTGTGATAGCATTTTGTTGTTGTTGTTGTTCTTCTTCTTCTTCTTCCTCATGGGACAAATTTATATTAAAAACATACATTTCTTTTCTTGTAATTGACTCCGCTTCTTTAAGAGACTTCTTAGGAACAGGATTGCTGACTTGGAAAGTGATGCTTTGCAACTGTTTATTAAGCTAATATATTGCCGAGTTAGGCAGTCCATTAGCATAAAAAACTACTGTATTTTCCAACCCAACAGTGCTTACAAATTTATTATTCAGCTTCATATTTGTTACATCTGAATGCCTAAAGGAGGCTTCTACATATCTATGCTAACAGAGTCTACTTTACAACTATATTACATTGAATAATCAAAGTAGATTTATTACCTCATTTCTGTTGTCCCTTCTATAAGAAAAAGACTATGCAGGTACCACAGGACAATTTAGATAGATGGCTGTGTCTTAGAGGTGTTCTTTTAATTCTTTTTCAATCTTGTATAATTATATTTGATAGAACCTCTCTTCTTGTTCTTTTCTTTTTAGTTACACTTTCTCTCCGAATTGTACCAATTGTTAATCTGTGCGTGTAACATACATAGAAAGGCTATTCCATCACGGGTGTCACTTTTTTAAATGATTATTTCATTGCGGATTCTAACTCAGTACATTCAGAACAGATTATTTTCTCCTTCATATACCACAGTAGCTGTGAGCTCCATAGAACAGATTCTGTCAACCATGATATTAAAGATAATCAATTTTATTACTTTTGAATAACATTGCTTAAAAATATTTAACATTTTTGTCATTATCACTCATTCTAAACTGACAGTTTGAATTACAGGATATTTAATAATAATAGTATAGTAATAATAGTAATAATCTCCTACTGAGGCATTACCTTGATGTGGTTTTGGGGCTTGTGTGCTCTGAGGAAGGTGAAAGCTGTGCCAGAGAGATCAGATCTTATCAAAGAGCCAGAGCCAGAGCATCTTTTCAATAAGCAATATGGTGAGAATTTAAGGAAATCTATACTGGATTGGTCATTGGTCATTGCCTGGGTCAACAAGCACCATGCTAATTGTGGGACTTCCTGGATATCTGGTGACAAAGGACTGTTGGCTGGGCAACCAGGGCCAGCAGCTGCAGAATTGCTGAAAAAAAGTCACGGATGTAAAAACTAAAAACATCACAGATATACAAACTAAAAACAAAGCAATAATGATCTATTATTATAAATCAAGTCCATAAGAAGAGGATATCAGAAAAGAATGCTTCAGTTCTGGAAAGAACAACATCCAAATCCATAAATAACAGAACAGAGACTAGCTGATCAATATTGATTTATAATATAAAATAAAGTATTCAAAGAAGTAGAATTGGAAGAACTGCAAAGGTATCAATGCAGGGCAAAGAAATTGAAGCCTTGCTTTTTATTATTAATAAAATTAATAGCAGTTAAAAAGTGAACCACCTTGTTATCTCCTGGAAGAAGATCATACAGGCTGACTTCAAACAAAGGCATGACCACATGACGATAAAATATCATTTACCTACAAGTGAGAATTGGAGGGAGGTAGACAAAGTAATAGAAAATAAAGAAGCTAAAATGAAGAAGTGCTCTGAGACTTTAGAATTCAAACAAACAAGCATCTGCTGCTTGCACCATATTCAAACCAACAATTGTCAATATGAAAGACAAAACAGTCTGGATATTATGGTATCTGATCAGACAACCAAGGAGAAGAAGAAAATCATAAAATACAAAGACCTGCAAATAGAAATAAAATGACTCTGGCAAAATTCAAACTTAATGTAATTCTTTCTAATCTTGATTGTAGGAAATATGACTTCTGCAATAGAGTAGTAAATGTCTGGAACACTAACTGATCCTGTTGTTAGTCTCTCTAATCCCCATACCTTTTACCTTAAACTGTCTACCGTGGACCTTTCATGTTTCTTAAGAGGTCCCTAAGGGGGCGTGCATAAGTGCACCAGTATGCCTACCGTCCCTGTCCTACTGTCCCCATTTATATGTAATCATTCTATGTGTTTATGTCTATGTTTTGCCTATTTATATCCTTTTATTTGTGCCAATTTTTTTCATGTGTCCATGTCTATGTCTATACTGTTACTTGTTTCCTTGTACTTGTTGATAAATAAATAAATAAATAAATAAATAAATAAATAAATAAATAAAGGCAAAGATAGTATCAATAGTGACAGGTAAAATTCCAGTTCTTATTACACTTATTACATCTAATGGTCAGCTCAATTCCCTGGCTAGCCAAATCCCTAGACAACAGAAAGAAGCTGCTTAGCAAGTGAGGTCTGGATAGTATAAAAGTACAATTTCGTCAAATGTATTATTGTTCTATTTTAACCTAAATAGACATGTTTTATGAATTCTCCATGTTAGTTGCCACTTAACAAGTTGAGTACTGATATTGATTGATTTGTTGATCAATATAGTCATACTGCAAGCAGTCAGCGTAAAATCTAACACAGACTAAATGAAAATGATTTCATAATGGGTAGAATAGAAAAAACAAACAATCAGACTTCATGAACTGGGGTACATAACAGGTGTTCTTCTCAGAACCATCGTATGATAGCAGTTGCAATGGCACAAAATTCCCCACCTTTTGTTGAAACTCCAATGAATGATCTCTTAATAAGAGAAGCATATTATGTGCTGATAAGGGAGTGGGGGACAAGTCACAGTATAGATGGCAGTTCAACAAAATAACCTCTTTATCTTAGCATATATCATCCTCCTGAAAAGCTGTTGAATCAAACCTCCATCAACATATTAGACTGTTGGAGGTCACCATAGTGACCATTCTGTGTGGAGAACAGAAGATGTTGGAAAGGCTTTTAAGAATGATCTAAGTATTGCTAATGAGGTCAATATAACAGTTTCATAAGGATTAAGATCTATCAGTTGGTAGAACTGAATCAAAGACTCTCTGCTAAGCCTTTATCATGCCTTTTTCTGGACCTAGCATATGTAGAGCATGGTTAAGAATCTGGATTAACCAAATCAAAAGCTATTCACACCTTCCAAGTGGTGACCATTTCAGACCTTTGGAACAGCCTCCCACCTGAGATCAGAGGACTTCCGACCATTTTAACCTTCTGGTGGGCAATAAAGAAATAACAGCCCCCCACAAGCATTGGACCTAGGTGAGGATTGAACTGTGAGGATGTTTAGTAGGGGAGAGGGTACTTTGTTTTTAGCTATGTTTTATAAATTGCTGTGAGTTATATAGAGTCATTGTATGAGACAGATAGCTATATTGTTGTTGTTGTTGTTAGTTGCGAAGTCGTGTCCGACCCATCGCGACCCCATGGACAACACTCCTCCAGGCCTTCCTGTCTTCCACCATCCTCCGGAGTCCATTTAAGCTCATGCCTACTGCTTCAGTGACTCCATCCAGCCACCTTATTCTCAGTCATCCCTTTCTTCTTTTGCCCTCAATCTTTCCCAGCATTAGGCTCTTCTCCAGTGAGTCCTTCCTTCTCATTAGGTGGCCAAAGTATTTTAGTTCCATCTTCAGGATCTGGCCTTCTAAATAGCAGTCAGGGTTGATCTCCTCTAGGACTGACTGGTTTGATTGACTTGCAGTCCAAGGGACTCACAGGAGTCTTCTCCAGGACCATAGTTCAAATGCTTCAATTCTTTGGCGCTCAGCCTTTCTTATGGTCCAACTTTCACAGCCGTACATTGCAACTGGGAACACCATAGCCTTGACTATACACACTTTTTTTGGCAGGGTGATGTCTCTGCTTTTTAGTATGCTGTCTAGATTTGCCATAGCTTTCTTCCCCAGGAGCAAGCGTCTTTTAATTTCTTGGCTGCAGTCCCCATCTGCTGTGATCTTGGAGCCCAGGAAAATAAAATTTGTCACTACCTCTATTTCTTCCCCATCTATTTGCCAGGAATTGAGAGGGCCAGATGTCATGATCTTAGTTTTGATAGCTATATAAATTCTGTAAACAAACAAACAAATAAATAATATAAAATGCATTTATCTGCCAGAATTATCAGGCCAGGAGCTCATCCCAGATACTTGTTTCAATCAATGACAAAGTCTCAAACTTCTCTGGAGATATCACCAAATTCTGGATAACAAAATTCATTTGCTACTAAGCAAGGGACATGGAATCTCAAGAATTTGATAGAATTGTGGCTAATGCAGTTATATCCCTAGAGGTACAATAGTGTGTGCCATACTACAGGATGTTTAACATTTTAGCTTTAAATAGTTTAATTGTTGTGCCAGCATAGTTATTGCTTTTAGAGTTTGAACAGTTGATTGTATTTGTAGCCTTCTGAGACCATTTTGTAAAATTACCAGTTAACACAATGGCACTAATACAAATAAACTGTGCTGAAACTTGACTAGGGCCAAAGTGAAGATGACAATATATCAGCATATAGAGAAGTGAGAATTGATTTGTGAGGCAAAGTCAGAGTGGGGAATGGATTCATAGTTGATGAAAATTAGTAGAAAGTTGAAAAATAAAGGAGCTGAAACATATCCTTGATTAAATTCCTTTAAAGTCAAAATGGGAGCCATCAGCTCATGATTATTCATGCATTTGACATGCATAAAGGTGTTTTCCTGAAGCAACATTATTGTCTAAAGAAGGTGGCAATCAACAGATGGCTATTTTTCTCCATACCCTCCACAAAACAAAGAAAAACCTTAAAGCATCATTTTTACTTGCTTAGTTATATTAAGATTTTTTATTTATTTATTTATTTTACAAATCCTTACCATTGTAGAAGATATGATGTTGGCATTTAGAGTATATAATACATTCTTGGAATATCATCTCATAATTACTTTTTTTATGTTATTTCAAACTGAACAGAATGTTGGAAAGAAATAATGTAAATGGACTCAGGACTGTGTTCAACTGTTTATCTAGCCAACAGCAGGATCACTCCAAAAACTTAATAGAACATAACAAAATTTGGTACAGTGAAAAAGCTGGCAAAAGAAAAATTGTGTTTTAAAAGGGATTGGATTTAGTTTGTGACAGTGGTGGGGAAAATCCATGCTACTGATTAGTTTTGTTTTCTGCCCCCTTCCTTTCTCCCCCACCCCCAGATCCTATAAGCCAAAGTGACACATATGTAGCCTACCCTTTGCTACTTCATTATACACAGGAAAATGTAGACATCTCCTATGGCCCCTGCTAGTTAAAAGGTTGGAAAGAATTCAAGAAGCTGTGCTGTGCATGGTTTCCTTAACATGACAGCATGGAGGAAATGAAAACTATCTCAAACCATATTCATACTGCATTGCATAAAAAGTTACATTCCCCTTAAGGATTGTATAACATCACTTTCATTTTGGAAGAAAGCTAGAGCATCAAAATTACTAGAATCTGGAGTAGATATTAACTTAATTCTTTATTATGTTATGAATGCAGGAGTCTTTTCTTTTTATCTATTTCTAAAATCAGGGTAATACTAGCAGGCTGTGTATATAGGTTTCAAGAAATCACACCACTGAAATTCATCAATGACTGACTTGTTTGGAGGTTCTAGGAAGGGTGAGTTCAAGTCTCCCATATCCTTGGCCAAAGATCAGGGCATTATTTCTATCTGGGATGGTCTTCCTCTTTCACTGACCACACATATGGAACTTTGAGGGAGGAGGGGACACCAGCCAGATCAGCCAAATCAACCCTAGCAATCAATGGGGTGACAGATATCACAGCCACATCCAGTAACTGGCTTTCTCTATATGTGCTATCTCTCTGTTGTTTCTTTTTTTTCTGTGTTTTTAATGATTTTTTAAGAAAATAGTTCTTTATATTTCTTCTTTATACATTAGAGCATTAAAAAAATACATGCAAGTTTCTTTTTAAGAAAAGGAAGAGGAAGGAAGGAAGGGAGGGAGGGAGGGAGGGAGGGAGGAGGGAGGGAGGGAATCTACTTCAGTTACATCCATAGGTCAATACTATGGGATTCCAAAAACAAAAGTGAATCCCATATCTTCCAAACATGCCTTCCCACATTCCCAATGAATAGATTGTGTCTATCTAGAGAGGTCAGCATATGGAAAGAAAATAGCAAGCATCCCTCCTTAACTGCTGATAAACATGATTTGGAACAGAAAAGTCATGTTCCTGCAGCTTCAAGCAGGGATCAAGCAGGCAAGATGATTCTCTGAGTCACAGGTCACTGCTCCCAGTTCTTCTCCATTACACTGAAGACAATTATTTCAGTACAGCTAAAGGTACAAATTAGCATGTTATCCTTCAACAGAGCAGCAAGTTCTGATTTCAGATTGTCGAATTCAGATTTGAGGCAGGATATCAAGCCAAACTATTATGTAGATGAACAGATTAGGGTACTAACCAGCGTATATTCTGAAATAATGTTGTCAGTTTGCTAAAACTAAGCAAAATTTACTTAGATTATTAAGCATTTGCATGAAACATTGTTCTTGATAAACAACCTGTTTTAGCATTATTGTCCAAAACATTAAAATAGATTGGTCACATGAATATTGCTGATCATCTATGATATTTTTGGCAATTTCTCAGTTTTCGATTAGGGTTCAGGAAAATTAATATTCATGTGATCATTACATTAATATGCAATTAAAGTACCCTCCAATTGGACTTTCCTACTGATTGCATCAATTCTGTTATAGTTACAAGCTGCATGCCAGCATAAATCTTTTCATTTTAATTTAAAGAATCAGAGGCCCACTGTTTGCCTTCATATTATTAACTGTGTCAAAATAGCAACATTTGATACTACATTTTAGTATATAATATGCATAATTTTCTTTCTTGTACCTTGTTACCAGTTAGTTAGATAACATACAAATTATTTGATTACTTTGAGTAATTAGATCTTAAAAATTCTGTAAGTATAAACTCCTAAATGTATATGTGACAATATAGATTGTAAGACAAAAGTTAATATAATATACAATTATCAATTAACAGATTGGAATAAAGCAGGTTTTTATTTGAAAACTTTTGCTAGACTTCATACTCTGGACCACTATCTGCTATGTATGAGGGATATTTTTGTTCAGTTGAACTCTGCTAGTGAACATGTGCTCTGCTACATGTGAACATGTATCACATGTTTAAGCAGTTTCATTTCAGAGCTTCCAAAGATATTTTAGGGCACCCAGCAAATGACCATCCCCAAATGATTATGAATATACTGTATAATAGGGTAACAATTGTGATGAGAAATAGGCAGCAATTTTCAACATTCTAATTAAATCAGAGCTACTCTAATTAATGATGTGGCATTTTACACATCATTATCTTTATGGAATAGAAATTATCACACTGGAATACCTCTTCTCATTAGGAGAAATATTGATCATAAACTTTAAGAACCTCTGGAATTCATTAGTGATTTTATAATAGAATTGACACAGAAATTGCATTTTATTAGAAACTATAAATCTTATAAAACTAATAGTGAAATAAACAGCATGATGTGAAGAATTATATTATACCTTGTCAGCTTATTTGTCAAACTAGCTTTCTCCCAACTCATCCATTATTTCTATCAGCATGCTCATGTATTATTTCAATGTTTTGTCTTAGATTTATATCTATTCAAGGATCTGCTGGTACTAAGAAAGCAGATAAATAATCAAGCTACTATCAACAATAATCTAGAAGAATGGAAGTAATTTCTTTATAACTTTTCTCTTTTCATTTTCATTTTTTCTTTTCTATTTCTTTTTTCTTTTCTCCTATTCTATTTCTTTTTTCTTTTCTATTTCTTTTTTCACTCACTATTATTTTCTTTATTATTTTATCTTATGGTTTTGACTTTGTTAAAAATTACTATATTAAAAATTATTGAAAGAGATGTAAGAGGAGCAGAGGGAAGGAGAGAGGAGGCATCAAGTCATGTAAGTAACATGACACTCCCAAGTGAGTCTTTTCTCCAGAGGAAATTTCTTCTTTAGATATGTTCTAAAATTATTAGTCCTTAACTTTAATCACCTATTTTTTTTCTTAGGATTTGGGCTCAGTTTAGGTCTGTATATCAACCTGTACTTCCCAAGAATCTTGCCTCAATTTTTAACATCAATGCAGGCTGCATACATTCAGTATCTAACGTTCAATATCTGATCCTCCCAGCAATGTTATATAAAATAATATTCTTTCACCAGTATAGAAAG